CAATCTGTTGCAGTTTGCGACTTACCTTTAAACTTATGAAGTACACTAACCCACTTATTAGCCCCATCTTTACTTACCTGTTTTTGCATCTTCTCAAAAGCTTTATGTTTGCGTATTTCACTTGTGTGATCATCAGAAACATGTTTGTCTCCAGAAAAAATGGAATCCTCCAGTACACCCCACAAGCTGACAAGAAATCCAGGAGTGAAGGATAGCATGTTGAGAACTGGTAATGAGCCACGGATTGGACTCAAGGCTGAAAATATTCTGATTAAGCTGGAATAAAAAAGTGCAACATCACACAAATCTAGCTTCCCCAAACATTCCAGACTATTTGAGAGCGAAGCCTCAGCCTTGTTAGTGGCATCTCTATTTATTGATGCCAAAAGATTTGTGAGATGCCACTGCTGACAAACAGGCCTAAACTGATCCATGTATGACATTATTAAGGACTCATAGTTTGCTTCACCCTCATGCAGAACCGTATCAACTGGCTGTGTTGAAGTTTCAACATCAGTTCGAAAAGGTTTCTTATTCTTTCTGACCCGTCCTATATTATCAAGACAGGGCAGTAGGCTTTCTGCTAGAGTGATAACAACATGGACATATAATGCATAGTCTAAGCCTTGATTGAAGGATCCAGAGTCTACAGAACCATTCTCATTCCCTGTTGCTAGGCATATAATGTTAGTAAGAGCCCAACCAACTGGTGGAATTGCCATGAAAGAGACAAGATTATCTGATTTGACCAACTCTGACATCTCCATTATAACATTCTCTTTCGAAATCTGTCATCGCCTGTCAGAGTTTGATCAGTTCTGATATGTTTGAATCATAATATATGAAGTTATATGATCTTATTAAATTGCGGCAAATGCTTAATGGAAGGTATGTTCAAGATTGAAGTTCAAAACTCTAACAATTCAACTATGACTCATTAATTTTTTTTTATTTTTTTGGTAAGTCAATATTTTTAATTTCATCTGTCAAAGGAAAGCAGCATCTTAATAAATCAGAGAGGTTACCCTTCACTGTCAATAATATGAAATAGCATAATTAAGGGGAAAGCAATAATTTATTTGAAAACTAAGGATGAAAATTCACCTTTGAACCATTATTTCATATTTTTCACAGAGAAAATAAAATATTATAAAGAAAAGAAGTAAAGAACCATTATATATTAAAACATCATTAAAAAAAATTCAGTTTAGAAGCATTGTATCTATATTCGCATATATAAATAGTGAGAAAAAATAATTAGATAGGAGATAAAAAAATAGCAGAACAACTATTTGCATTGTCATAATTCCAATATTAACTGACAGATACTAAAAATACAAAACTTAGCGATTAAGCAAGAAAGATCCATCTTTAATGTTGCAAACTTAGAACTACAACATCAAACAAATTACATATGCATAGAGAAGTCAAATGTGCATGCACAATCATCAACTCAGCAAGTCAAAATTATATATATGGGTTACATGAGTCAAAAGATAGCACTAGTTCCATTAAATTATATATATGGGTTACATGATTGATCTGTTAGTGCCTTCAAAAGAAAAAATAAATAAATAATTAATACATAATAAAAAATAACAAAAGAGACCAAGTTGTCACTAAAACAAAAGAGCAGACTACTAATTTTGCAGGTGAAATTTTTCCCACTTAAATTATGCTTACCAATAGAGTCTGGAAGCAAGGGAACAAAATAGACTTGTGCTTCAAAGCAGGTAGAAGAACAGACGGGAGATGTTGCACGAGCCAAGGAATAGTCAGTACATATACAATATACTGCTTAGTAGCATGGTTGACACCCAGCATAAAAGGCCCTTGTACATCAAAGTTTGTCAGATAAAATGGTCGCACAGCTAAAGTTATTGCACTTGCAGTAATAAAAAAAAATTCATCTGCCTGGGTGATAATTTTTGTCTGAGAAGAATTATTGTCCAATGCATTAATATATCTGGCAATAGACACATAACTACCACTTTTATTACTCCCCATGAACTGAATTAAATCTTTCACTGCTAAATCTGCATCTAAGCGGCTGTCATCTGTAATGCATTTCCATCCTTTCAGATCAGTTAACATAATAAGAACATGCATTGCCAGGGATGTAACAATAGTAATATCTTGAGCCCCTGAATTGCATTCACTAAACTCAGAAAGAATGAAAAAGCCAATAGAAGTCAGTCTCCGCGCCTGGTAACTCCATATTCTTCTCTCTTCACTAGTACCAATTGCCAAAAAACAAAAGTTCCGGTTTGAATCTAAAAAAAAGTAAAAAAAAAGATAGATCCATTAATACTGTATTAACTAGGTGCGTTAAAACAAAACCAAAAATAAAAAAAAATTAAAAAGAAGAACAACAAAAAGAAGCAGGTCCTTTCAACTCTCATATGAGAAAAAATAGAGCAACAAAAAGTATCTTGGCATTCATAATTTCATATTGGCATGCCATCACATTAAAATGAGTGACATAATTGGAACATGAACTTAAAATTAAATAAAAGAATATCTAAATGACAGGATATACCAGAAGATTTCAGGCTTTCCAATAGGATTGCAAAGCACATCTTCATAGAGTCTATTTTCTTGCTATGGAACTTCTGATGTCGAGTTGAGAAACGGGTGATAAAGAAAAGAAACGGTCTCAACAAATGGTCTGAAATCCAAATTGCTGTCCTCACACCCGTATAATGATTCACCAATATCTCCCACTCCTGCTGAAGCTGCAGAGCAACCATCTTTGTAACCTTGAGGCGCCTCCATACTCTCTTATAACATTAAGAAAGAGATAATATTATTTCCCCATTTTGATACAGAGATGAGGTGCAAATGAAAACAAAGAAGATACCAACAAATTGCAAATACCAACTTTCTTTCTAATGACAAGTTTACAACAAATTTGGGCCCAAGTATACAAAATTTTGTATTCCTTCATTCTAAGATTATTGATTTCATTGATTAAACAAAATAGAATTAGGCGTTGCTATCTAAAAACATCATAAAATATCCTAACAAAACTATCAGTATATTACATTTCACCTTGTATCTCATGGCTTCTCTAAACATTAAAGAAATCAAGAAATAAAAAAAATAAAAAAAATAAAAAAATCACTCTCCGTTAAACCCGACTAGCGAGTGTGGGGTGGAGGCAATCCTTGTACGTATAGCCTTACCCTTGCATAATTGCAAAGAGGCTGTTTCCTGGATTCGAACCCATGACCTTTCAGTAATGAAATCAAGAAATGAGACCGAAAAACATGCTCCTTAACACAAAAACTGGCATTAAACTACCACTGTTGTGGGGTCTAGGGAAGGTTGCAGATAACACAACCTTACTCCAGTGAGCAGATAGGCTGTTTCCACAACTAGAACTCATGATCACGGGGCCACAATAGGCTGCAACATTTCCCTCGTGACAAGGCTCACCCTGAATGAGCTCACAAATCTAATATCATTAAACACGGTATGCAATAACAATGAATCTATGTTTGAGATAGAACATTTTGTGACAGCCACAAAACGTACAAAAGTTGATGATATCCAATCACAATAAGAATGCTAATTTAATTAAAACAAATAACCGTAGGCATGTAGAAAAGCCAAAAGCAAGTTCAATCTGGAAGTTTTACAATGAAAAATTGAGACAAAGCAGAAGCAAAGATGTTGGGAGAATAGAAGATGAACCTGAATGAAGAGAGCAGCAGCAGCAGCTCGTTTTGCATAATTGCGAAGCTCTCTTTGCTGAGACACCTTCTGAAGAAGTGCATCTCTCGTTATCTCCTTCGCACTCGCTCCTCTCAACGATACCTAACCCAACAACCTTTCAATCATCACAACCAAAACAATAATCACAGTAATAATCAAAGATCACACCCGTCAATCGATTCGAAATGGTTGATCTGCGGCGTTTAATTCAACGAGTGATGACAAGTCAAAATCACTCACCGTTGAAACCCAGGACAGTTACGGGTTAAATCATCGTATGAGACAAAAAAAACTAAGGAACAAGATTGATAGTTGGTAGAATCATTTTTCATAGGTACGAGGAACAGATAGAGTACCTGGTGTTTACGAGGTCCGTCCATGGAACTCACGAATAGAGGTGAACCTCAATGCTCGATTCCATTTGTTTTATTTCTCGTCAACGCGATATCATTAATTTCATGGATTAATAATGTTCTTGAGCTTTTACCCTTTTTCTCACGCTCTTTATTACAAACAACTCTCTTTTTTTAAGTTAAATTTTTATCCATGGGACAAAATCAAGGAGAAGTATGTTTTAAGTTTTTCCTTCGAAAAAGTGGACCAGTAATTTGTCAATTTTATTAAAAACAATTTATTATTGGCCTATGTGAATAGTGATGGTTATTTTTTTAACTGGCTTATGAAGTTACAAATTTACCGTTGAAAAAAGGGAAAAACTTTTCTTTATATTCTGTGTTATTTTAGATTTTAATGGTTAATTTTCTTCGATCAACCATTAAGTTTTATTGAATCAAATTTATTAATTCACAATAAAATTTAATAAATTATATTTGTTAATTGACGAAAATAAACGGCTAAAATTTAAAAGTTAAAAGAATAAATATTTTTTCCAAAAAAAAAATATTACTATGATTTTAGTTCAAAATAGTATTTTTTATTTAAAATTTAAATAAAAAATCACTAATTTTCTCTTCATGATTTTTGTGGGGCCAATTATATTGATTACCATTTTAATTTTACTATTTTTAGTACTTGATTGATGAACGTTAGATCATTTGAAATTTAACCATTAAAAATAAGAAAAATTAATTATTACTAATTTTAAATTCATCCAACGATAACTAATCAATTAATAAAATAATAAAATTAAAATAGAACTAAGATAATCTTCCCGGATTTTTATATTTATATCTTATTCTCACTAACGCCAAACCCATTTACAATTGTTCGATTTAGATTTTTAACGTAATTAGTTTTAAAAATCATTTCATGGGTACGAGTAACGGAGAGATTATGGATAGATGGCGGCGTTCCTTCAAATCAATTCTTTCTCCTCCTTCCTTCCCCGCTACTCGAAACCGCCGTCGCCGCCGCCCCTTTCTTTTCTACACTTTCCATTCAAAAAATCGAAATTCCACCGTCGTCTTCGCTCCTCGCTAACCCATTCCGTTTCAACACCACAGTCCCCTCTGCCCAACTCAACTCTCGATGACCTCTTCTTCTTCCTCCACGTGTCGGGTCGCTACGGCGACGCTGAGCTGGCGAGGGCGGTTCACGCCACCGTCCTCAAGCTCGAAGAAGACACCCATCTTGCCACCGCTCTCATCTCCGCCTATATCAAGCTCGGCCTTTTATCCGACGCTTACCGCGTTTTCCTTGCCCTCTCTTCCCCCAACGTCGTCTCTTACTCTGCTTTAATTTCTGGGTTTTCCAAGTCCCATCGAGAACAAGAAGCACTGGACCTCTTCTTTCGGATGACAAGTTCAGCAGTTGACCCCAATGAATATACCTTTGTCGCTGTTTTAACTGCTTGCATTCGACTTCTGCATCTTCCATTGGGTCTTCAGATACATGCCGCTGTGATCAAAACCGGGCATTTGGACTCTGTTTTTGTTGCCAACGCGCTTATGTGTTTGTATGCAAAGTGTGGTTCTTACCGAGTTGTGCTTAAACTGTTTGATGAAATGCGCCAGAGAGATATTGCGTCCTGGAACACTGTTATGTCGGGTGCGGTGAAGGAGTTCATGTATGGGACTGCGTTTGGGTTGTTCCGTGACATGCAGGCAACTGATGCATTTAGAGTGGATTATTTTACTCTGTCAACCCTTTTGGCAGCGTGTGCTGCCAGTGCTTCGGTAATGGAAGGCCAGCAAGTTCATGCGCATGCTATTAAGGTTGGGTTGGACACTGATTTGAATGTTAGCAATGCCCTTATTGGATTTTATACCGGGTGTGGAACTCTTGAGGATGTGCTGTGGTTGTTTGAGAGGATGGCTGTGAGAGATGTTATAACTTGGACTGAGATGATGGTGGCCTACATGGAGTTTGGGTTGGTGAATTTAGCACTGAAGATATTTGATGAGATGCCAGAAAAGAATTCTGTATCTTATAATGCTCTTATGTCTGGGTTTTGTCAAAATGGTGAAAGTTTAAAGGCTTTGGATTTATTTATCAAAATGGTGGAGGAGGGCATGGAGTTAACGGATTTCTCTTTGACTAGCGGTGTTAATGCTTGCAGTTTGCTTGCTGACCTTATGGTCAGCAAGCAGATTCATGGATTTGCCCTCAAGTTTGGTTTTGGATCAAATGCCTGTGTTGAAGCTGCGTTGCTTGACATGTATACAAGGTGCGGGATGATGGAAGATGCTGACAAGATGTTCTGCAGGTGGGAGTTAGAGGAATTCAGCTCTGTAGCTTGGACATCTATGATATGTGGCTATGCTCGAAATGGGCAACTAGACGAGGCAATTTCTCTTTTCCAACGTAGTCAATCAAAAGGGGAAATGATTATGGATGAAGTTGCATCAAGTTCAATGCTCGGTCTTTGTGGAACTATCGGTTATCATGATATGGGTAAGCAAATCCACGGCCATGTTCTTAAATTTGGGTTTCAGTCTAATGTGGAAGTCGGAAATGCTGTTGTTAGCATGTATTTTAAGTGTGGGAATGTGGATGATGCAATTAAGGTGTTTAATGATATGCCCTCTACTGATATAGTTTCGTGGAATACTTTGATTTCTGGCCATCTTATGCACAGACAGGGAGATAGAGCATTGGAAGTATGGTCAAATATGCAGGAGGAGGGCATAAAGCCTGACCAAGTTACCTTCGTTTTGATAATTTCAGCTTACAGGCAAACCAGCTTGAATTTGGTTGATGATTGTCGTATTTTGTTTGACTCAATGAGAACTGAATATCAAATTGAGCCCACATCCGAGCATTATTCCTCCTTCATCAGTGTTTTGGGTCACTGGGGTCTTCTGGAAGAAGCGCAAGAAACCGTCAATGAGATGCCTTTTGAGCCTACTGCTTTTGTTTGGCGTGCTTTGCTTGATAGTTGCAGGCTACATAAGAATATAGTGATTGGAAAATGGGTTGCTAAGCACATTCTTGCCCTGGAACCTAAAGATCCGTCTACCTTTATACTTGTTTCAAATTTGTATTCTGCTTCTGGGAGATGGGACTGCTCTGAAATGGTCAGACAGAATATGAGAGAAAAGGGATTACGCAAACACCCAGCTCAAAGTTGGATTATTTGTCAGAAGATAATACATTCGTTTTATGCTAGAGATAGATCACATCCACAAGAGAAGGACATATATAGGGGATTGGAGATTCTAATCTTGGAGTGCCTAAAAGTTGGATATGAACCTGACACGAGCTTTGTTCTCCATGAAGTAGAGGAGTTTCAAAAGAAAAATTTTCTATTCTATCACAGTTCAAAACTAGCAGCAACTTGTGGAATACTAATGACCAAACCTGGAAAGCCCATTCGGATCGTAAAGAACATCCTTCTTTGTGGGGACTGCCATACATTCTTGAAATATGTATCTATGGTCACTAAGAGGGATATTTTTCTAAGAGATTCTTCGGGATTTCATTGTTTCTCTAATGGCCAGTGCTCGTGTAAAGACTACTGGTGAAACGCTGGTTGATCTAACTGGTCATTCTCGTCCATATCAGTGATGTATGCTGAAAGGTTTTGTAAGTTATAGGATATGTATAAGAGCAATGCTATTTGGAATGAAAGATTTTTTGCGGATGTGACTACAAATTTTGTGGCACCAATCAGGTTAGAGGAAAAAAGTAAAACAGAGAGAGGCAGTCGAAGAAAGATGCTCTTTGCAAATACTTTGGTAACAAATTTACTAGTTAGCTCTTTTTTTATTTTTTAAACATTTAGCATTTTTCCTGTGTACAAAATATAGCTTCGATATTAGCTGCTGCGATGCAAGTGTAAATTTGTTTCCATAGATGCAAGTATAAAGCATAAATTGACCTTAAGATCTTACATCTATAATGAAGGAATTCTGAAATCCAAATTCCACTATACATAATAAAGTGACGATCCTTGCCTCAATGATTTCGTCCCCATGCACTGTAAAGGGACTTGTTTAAGAAATTAAATACAAAAACTTTCAAATACAAATGTGAAAAACTGTATAATTTTGCAGAGATTTGAAATATAATTTTTTGTCTTTTCGTTGCAAGACATGTCATTACACTAGCTAATTAGTCCACAAAAAGAGTAGGGTCTGACCACTCACGATTGAAATTGTTTCAAGTTGACAGCTTGATTTGTTGTTGTAACTGTATCAACTACTTTATTCTGTGAGATGATGTGAACGGATGACAATTCTGATGCCATTGGATTATCTTTTGTCCGGAACAGATGGGGATGAGCGGTGGACCCAACAAATTTTATTTATATCTGCATAATTAATGAATGGGTTCGGGGATTTTTTTTTTTAAGATTCTATAAATAGTTTTGCATATTGTAAAAAAAAAAAATTTAATGACCATAAAGTAAGCTGCTTCTAGAGGTAGTTTTTTTGGTGTTCCACATCCCATGTGATCCTTCCATTTAGAGAGTGCCTTATTTCTCCTCTCATCTCTCTCCTCAATAATTATTTGATTTTGATTGGTCTGGACCACTGAGTTAACGGTGATTCGGGAGCACCAAAATTCCTCTCTTTCTAGAGTTCTAGTTATAGTTTTGCATCTCCTTTAAAATGTTAAATTTTTAACTGGTGATTTGTTTTTGTGATATTTAGCCAAACCGAGATGATAAGTATGCAAGAATTGAGGCAGCTGGAGGAAACGTGATACAATGGAATGACCATTCACTGACTACTTTTTTTTTTTTTCCAAAAGTTAGTATGTGCACTTGCACACACTTGCAACAATATAGGTCCGCTAGTGGATGAGTACATGCTTGTTGCCTTGTTATGGCGATATGTCTTTAATTGATAGATTATGATGACTTTGTTAGCGTATCTCGCATGCGAGATATCTCTTGCTGAGCACTTGGTGAGAATCTAATGTCTATTTTTTTTTTTGGAAATATTCCATTCGGTTCATCGCTTCATGACTAGTCCAATCCAGGACGGGTAAGGGTGTTCGCGGTCTGGATTGGATCAGTTTTGGAAGCAAAACTCATCCGATCCAATCCTTTCGGTTTGATCATGTAATCATCCGTTCGGTTTAGATTTTTTTTCAAATCCGATTCGATCCAATCCAATTTTTTTCGGTTTAGATTGGATAGGTTTTCGGTTTTTTGAATATCCTAAAATTAGTTTCATGATTATTGTGCAAATAACATCTTTTGTATATATTGGCTTTGTAAATTTTTTTTTTTTGAAATACAAAAATATCAGTAAACAATACTATAGTTGATGAGACGTGACTAAGTTTTTTTTTTGTTTAATTCATGAGTTAATGGGTCTTGGATTTAGAAATTTTTGGACTATGGTTGGGGAAAGGACCAAGTAGGTAGAGGAGAATTAATATATTGAATCAGTTTGGATTGGATCGATTTTCATCAACCCATCCGAAAATCGATCCAATCCAATTAAAATTTGCGGTTTTTTTCGGTTTTCGGTTTTTCGGTTTTCAGTTTATTCGTTTATCGATTTTTCAGTTCGGTTTTCGCGGTTTGAATCGGTTTGGATCGATTAATGAACACCCCTAAGGACGGGTCCAGTATTAAGGCTTTAAACCCCTCCCAAAGATGATACTGAAGAGGATCGAACACATACTCTCACTCTCACCTATTCAGCTCTCGTTACCAACTGAGCTACCACTAATTTTAAAGAGGCTTGCAAGCTTAGCTGTGCATTTTCGGAACTGCGTACACATGTCATACACACCATCAATTTTTGAACTTTTTTTCTACTGTTAATCCAAACCCAAACCAAAGTTAAATGGCCACCTACTCTTTTTTTACCAATGTAGAGTTCAACATGATGCTAAAAGTGGGAAAAGATGGCCCTAATTTAGGTTTGGGCTTGATGTTAGAGAAAGAAAGAGCTGGAAGTAGGCAAGTAGCAATCCAATATGAAATGCCGTGTGAAGTTACAAACTCAGGGAGTGCATTGGGCTTATGTAAATTTTATTTTTGAAGTTTTGTAATAATTTAAGGGTAATCCATCGGTATGCAGATACAATTTTTTGTGGGACCTATGTATTATTTTTTCTCTCTCCTTGTATCATTTTCTCTCCCAAAATGTTGTGTCTACAAGACAATTTTGTTTTTCCCTGTAACAGCACCGATGCATTTCCCATAATTTAATACATAAATTTGATTCGGTTCGACCCATGCGAACTGAGTTATATACGTACAGTCTTATAGTGAATTAAATATAATTTTGATAAATAAAAAGCGATAAATTAATTGAAACATTTTTAATTAATATATATATATATAATTATTTCTACTGTCACATTTAACTCAAAAACTACGTCGTTTTGATTAATGAAGAGTGTTTCTGTATTTTAGGTGAATTAATGAAGGATATTTTCGTAATTTTTTATCATATACATTTTAATGAAACACCCTTCATCAATTCACCTAAAATTATAGAAACACTCTTCATTAATCAAAATGACGTAATTTTTGGAGTAGCTGTAGATAATCTTATCTAAAGTAGTTGTAGAAATATTTACCCTATATATATGGGAAAGAATATACTTACCACAAGAAAAGTTTACAACCTTTACAACTAACCTAATCACCATTGATTTCAGTTAATCTAACGGCTATAATTTATCAGAAATTATTGGGTCGCATTTATTAATTAATTTTTATTTTTCAATAAGTTATAACCGTTAGATTGACAGAAATCAACAGTGAAAAAATTGGTGGTAAACTTTTTTGGTGATAAGTATATCCTGCCCCTATATATATGGGTAAAGGATCTCTCAAGCCAATGGAGATGAATTTTCTCTGATGAGTCCAAAACGATGTCGTTTGTGGCTAAAATTAAGGTATTTTTATAATTATAATTTACTGCAGGGTTATATTAATCTTTATTATTATATTTTTTTTGATCTTACAATCCAAAACGACGTTATTTTGAGCTCACTGGAGATAATTTTATCTCTGAATATTGAAAAAATACTTTTTCATATATATATATATATATATATATATATATATATATATATATATATATATATATAGGGTTTTACTTCTCTCATGTTGTATGAGAGAAGCTATCTCATGTTGTGAGATAAATTAAGTAGGACCTACCAATTTTTAAAAAAAGAAAAAAGAAAGAAAAGAGAGGCACGTCTTTTTATGTGAGAGTAAAATCAGATATGAGTCTTATGTAGCATAAGAGTATAATTTCCCATATATATATGGTTAAACTAATCTCATGTTATATGAGAGAGTATGTCTCATGTTGCGAGATAATTTTAATGTGGGTCCCACTAAAAAAGAAAAAAATAATATGGGATCCACTTTGATTTTGTGTCACTCATATAAGATAAGCTATCTCATTGAACACGAGTTTAGTTAATCCCAGATATATAATTTTGACAAATAAATTAATAATGTTATTCGATATTGTTGCGAGTTATCTGGATAAGTTCATTGATTATTTGTTTATTTATCTAATTAGAGTATAAAAGTTATTTTTAAATAATTTAATTAATTTGTATTAAACATTTAAACTAGCTATTATTTTAAATTAATATTTATTTATTTTAAAATAAATTATAAAAAGTGAAACATCATAATTATATTAATTAAAAATGATATATTTACCAAAAAAATAAAAATAAAATGATATTTAAGACTTGTAGGACAACTCAGCCTACTGCAAGCTTGCTTATGTTAAGGCCTAAATCATCTCATTTGTTTTTTTGGTATCAATCGATATATGAAGATTTACTGAGCCCGACTTATGAGTTTGAATTTTTTCACCTTTTTAAAATGTTTTGTTTTCACAAATACATCTCTAATTTTTTTTGAAATTCTAACATAAAATGCATTGCACAAAAATCCATAGTTACATTCTTTTCTTTAAAACGTTAAATTGCAATATTAAAAAATCGAATTCAGGGTCTAACTAAATAATCTCTAGACCAAAGGTTTGGCATCGGTACGTGAGCTTGATTTAGTGTCAAAAAATTTCCTGTCACTATCATATAGTATTCAATATCCATCTCTATTTGGTGACAAATAAAGTACGTGTATTTTTTTTTTATGTTTCAGAGATTTTATAAAATGGACTTTATATAGACCCCAATGATCAATCGCCTCGATGAATTCCACTATATATACATGTCAAAATCCTAGAAACAATTTTTTCTACAGGAAGTGTTTGGTTCAGTTGAAATTTTTTTTACTAGAAAAATATAATGACTAGAGATCTGCAGGAAAAGTGAGTTAGATAGGAAAATTTTAAAAAAGTTGTTTGGTTGGAAAAAAAATTACCAAGAAAATTAAGTGAAATTCCTGAATGTGTATTTGGTTGAATATAAAATATTGATGAGAAAACTTATTGAAATTACGTAATTATCCTTTTAAAAATAACCCTTTACCCTTTACAAAACTTATTGTGCAAACTTTGCTCACCTGTGAGGATAATATTGTCAACGTTTTGTATCACTATATTAACTTATCCGATTTTTATAGAAATATCATGTTCAAAGTAGCATTCACGAAGAGTGCTTTTCTTCCTTTTTAACATGTAATTGTTGATAGCTAAGTAACTGACATTTATGGGTAAAAATAGAGAATCCTTGAACGGAACGTAGACAATTGACAAACTCAGAATCACTTGGCTGAGAATATCCACAGAACTCCTGAAACAAACACTGCCATAGAAATTTATGAAATAAAATTGACTAACAATCAATATCAATAATAGTGTTTATTAGTGCCAAATCATACATGTCAAAATCTTAGCAATAATTTTTTCTATAGAAATTTATGAAATAGAATTGACGAACAACCAATGTGAATAATAGTGTTTATTAGTGGCAAAACATAAATGTCAAAATCCTAGCAACAATTT